AATACAAAGATTTTATATCATAAAAAGATGTAAATTCATAATTCTCAAGTATAATTAGATAGATTTCTTTTGAAAATAACATTTTTATTACAAAATTAAAAATCTAATCGGTTAAACTAATTAGATAAAATAAATTTTATTAAATAAAAAATAAAAAACAAAATCTTTAGAAAGAACAAATTAGATCAAATTTCCTTGATTAATCTGAGATTTTACAAATTCTTCAGACAATAAATATATCTTTTTATCATTTATCAATTCAAATTTAAATAAATTTCTATATATAAAAAAATGTACAAATGTAAGATTATCTTTAATTAAATATATTGCTTCAGTGTTTAGATTTTTAATACAACCTTTTGAGTATACTATGTAGATGCAATGATAAATATATATACCTAACAGATTATTGAAAGTAGTTCTGAGAACCAATATTTTAAATTGTAAATAACTAAATTTCTTGTAATAATTATTTCGATTTTTTTGAACTACTTCACTAATAATCCAATCTTTGAACAATGTTAAATATTGTTCAAAAATTTCTTTCTTACATTCTTTAAGCTCATCATTTATTTGTATTTGGAATTTATTATTTATATTTTCTACTGAAATGTTTAATAAAATACTTGTAATAAGTTCATAAAATGTTTTGTCAACAGATGATAAAGATTTTATTTTATCAAATAATGTGTAATCATATTCTTCAAGAATTATCAAATATATTTCTTTTGAAAACATTTTAATTTACATAACTAAAAACCTAATTGGTTTAAACTGATTAGAGTTAAGAAATACATTTACACTTTTTAGTTTTACAATTAAGATCGATTCTATTATTCTTACTTAAAGTAATCCTGTTACAATTAAAACATTGATTAAAATTGACATCACATCTCAAAAAATAATTTAAGAAATAAAATAAATCTTCTTCTTGATAAATATCTAAAACCTCATTCTTTTTGTAAACTGAGAGATTTTTATGCTTACAAAAATAAATCTTATATTTATGACTGATACCATAATGATTGAAAAATTTTGATAAATGATCATGATCAAGAAATCTCATTTTGAAATCTTCTCCTTTAACTTGATTAGTGAAAGGTGAATTATAAACATCACAATAATTGATGGTTTCTTTGATAAGTAAATTAGTCTTTTTCACAAAAACAAGTTCAATTTTTCCACAACAAGGACAAGTGTTAAACCTATAATTTTGTCTACTTGATTCTAAATTTTTTTTCAATAAACATTTTGAAAAATACCCAAAACTTTATCATTATTCTTTTTAACTACATAAATTTTCTCTTCTTCATCAATAAAAAAGTCATGTTACTCATTTCAATATTTGTCGAAAAATTCATTTGGATCTTGAAAAGTTGATGACTTTATGATGAGTTGTTTAGTATTTTTATCACACATTTTTTACATGACTAAAAATCTAATCAGTTTAAAACTGATTAGATAAATTATTTAATTGATAATTTTAATATTACATCTGCGTAAATCAAAAGAACATTTGTTTTTAAATTTAATGTTTGCTAATTTCACTTCAGGATAAAGTAATTCAAGTAAATATTCTCTGCTAACTTTATCAACAATGTTCCTGTTTTTATCAAGAACAAATTCATGTTTTTTTAAAAAAGGTCTTTGATCTTTATTTAACATAATCTTTTGACGACTAGGTAGCAGCATTATTTGAATATTTGCAATTATTTTTTTATTGTCATCATCATAATAAAGTGGTCTGCAATAATTTGTTTTAGTATTTTCTTTAAACCAAGTTTGATTTTTTGTATACATAAACATTATCAATAAAGTTACTGTAAAAAGAATCTAATCGGTTTGTAAACTGATTAGAAGTAATTAGTGACAATTTTTCAGGTTCCAGCCTGAAAAATTGTAAAAATTGCCCTTTATTTACCCTGAATGATGCTCTACGCTTTTTTTCATTCTTTAGAAGAACCAATTTTATTTTTTTTTCTTGGTTTGTTTCTGTCGATATGACAAATGCCTCGATTTGATGATAAACAATTCCAACAAGTTGGAATTGTTTCTAATCAAGATCTCATTTTTGTCATATTTCAGAAACAAATTTTAGGTTTTTTTTTTAAATTTAACAAGTTTTTATAAATAAAAAAAATATATATATAAATATAATTTATTAATAAAAATATTACATTTTATAAACTTTAATTATTAATCAATCAGATTTAATGTTTGATTTGTTTTTACGTTGATTCGAGGTTTCTGAATCATTGATGTCTTCGACATCGTTGATACAGCTATGACCCTGTCTTGCCTCGAATCATTATAGCAAATGCATCAAACATGATAAGATTTGCCTCACATATTTTTATCTTGTTTGTCTTCTCTTCCTCCTTTCTCTCTCTCTGCAGAGAGTTTATATTGTATGAAAGAATTTCGAATGCCTCGATTTGATGATAAACAATTACAACAAGTTGTAATTATTTCTAATCAATATCTCATTTTCAAAATTCTTTCAATAATTAAAATTAAAATTGATTTACAAAATAATCATTTCGATTTCCAGTTTTTAGATCATATTCTAATTTAAAATCTATTGCTTGTTGTTTTGCTTGTTCAAAATTTATATTCTTTCTAATTTTAAAATTTTTACTTTTACATTTATTATTTTCCTATCATTTAAATCTCCATCGATTTCTAGATTTATCAAAAATAATTCTATTATACCCTGATGTATTATTATTTCATAATTTACAATTTAAAGCATTTTCTCTTGGTGTTGTTTCTCTTAAATTACATTTACGATTGTCACATCCATTGCAATTAATATGATCGATCATTTTGAATTCAGGGTGAATTAAATGATGAAGCAATAAAGTTTTCTCTTTAAATTTTGTTCCAATATAAAATGTATTATTATTTTTTTCTTGACAATGCCAAGTATAATTTTGTAAAAGATAAAAATTTTTAATATCAATAAAGAATATAACATCTGGTTTCTGTGTTTTAACTTGATAATATAATTTGTAATCAATTAGAACAGTATAATATTCATTTAGTTTAAGTCTTGGTTTGACAGGATTTGAGACTTTTAACCAATCAATAGCATACTTAAAATTTTTAATTTTATCAAATTGATTATTCATCTATTATTTTTAAATTAAATTTAAAATTGAAACTTATTCTGCGTCAGTTGATCGGTCAGTCAATTGACAAACAAGATAAAAATATGTGGAGCAAAGTAAGAGTTAGTATTAAGTAAAAGAAGCAAATTCCTGAACGAAATACAGTGTGGAGCTCTCTCACCTTTATGAATCCTAATGATTAAGGTTATATAAGAAAGAACCTAATTGGTCTTGAAAGACTAATTAGATTGTTTAGACCAATCGAGAATATAAAAGAAAAATAAAGTTATACAAGCAATAAATAAAGAAAATGTAAAAGATTTTGCTAATTCAATCGAACAAAATAATAAGTTTGAACCAATTTCGATATTTAGTTCAAAAGCCATTTTTTAATGAAAACAAAGAAATAATGAGGGTTTATATATTTTTTTATCTTATATGATGTTATTAAAAACGATAATCAAAATCGACAAGTTCAGGATGCAATAACTTTAAAAACTTGCTTCGACACATGTGGCAAACTGAATGTGAGTGCCAAGTCATGAACTGTAATTGTTTACATTTTCTTACTAAACATCTGTTAAAACTAATTTTTAATTCATAAGGGAAAGAGAAAATGTTTGATTCATATAAATCACATATAGATTTTAGACTTTCAAATTCATCTTTAGTCACAAGAGAGTAATAATTTTTAGAATTTTCAAAATGTAATAGATTAAGTCGCATTTTCTTTTTTAGATAATTTACAGTAATCATATGTTTAAGTTGCTCTTCCTCTAAGATATCTTTGTTAAATGTGAAGTAATTAACAGAAATCATAAAAGGAACATATATATAAGGTTTTATCAAATAGTTGTTAAATGGTTCGATCAAAATGTATTTTGTTCCATATAAATTGAATAACATTATATAAAGTTTATACCAAGATCGACATATTGTTTTGATCGTGTTTGAGATTAACATATCTGTGAGTGTAATTTTTTCTGAATTGAAACATGAGAGAAATATCATTATCAATATTTCTTTAGGAAATAAGTTAATGTGAACCATGATTACATGAATAAAAATCTACTTGGTTAAAACTAAGTAGATGATTTATTTGAAAAAAAATTAAGAGTATAACTAATTTTTTAATATATTAGAATATGAAGAAGAAGAAAAAACCTGATCACTATCTAAAAGAGCATCATAGCTTTGGCCTTGGTAAAGTGCTGTTAAATATGAATCACAATATTCACAGACATTTATACTATATCTTAAATAGGAATCATTATCAGAAGGTTGAACTAATTTTTTCAAAACTTTTTTGCAATCTGATTCTGTATTTCCAAAGAAAGTGAATTCTTGTGTCTTACAATATGTGTAAGATTTACAGTTCTGGCATCTGCTTTTTCCATATTTACAAAATGTTTCAGCATCTACAAATATTAAGGTTCTCTTGAAATTCTTTAAATAATTTGTCTTGACATATAGCTGTTTTCCAGCTCTTAACTTATGAGAGAATTGAGAACCATCTTTGTCAATGTCGATCCAGATGTTTTTGGGACAGTATCATACATTCCATTTATATAGATTGGGAGGACTATATAATGAATTGTATTTTTGTATCAAGTAGTATCTGGTTGTGATCTTTTTGAAATAGTAATAATAATGATGATGAAATGTTTTGCACACGAATTTTAGTTTTTGAAATTCACCAAATCTTTTATCATCCAATGTGATCTTTGAAGCTGGAGTCAAGAAAAAAAATATTTCATGATGTATATTATAAGGTAATGAAATTAGATGCTGTGTATTATTAATAAAATATGGATCAAGTTTACATCTATGATATTTTCTTTTCTCTTTGCTTTTTTGAGATGTTAGTTTCATATTGAATTACATGAATAAATCTCTGCTCGGTAGAACTGAACAGATTATTTATTAAAGAATATTAAACAAAATTTCTCAAATTTTTTATTCTGTTCTAATAATCTAATATTATAAAATTTTCTGTCCCTAAAAATCCATCGTTTCTATTATAGAGATTGTTAAAATATTCATTACAATCTTTGCAAATTTTTATACAATATGATAAATAATGATTTCTAACAACCAAAGGTCTGATTTTACGTAAAGCATCTTTACATTCTGATTTATAATGAGTTGGAAAATCATAAGAATATACTACACAATATGTAAATGTTTTACAATTCTGACATCTGCTTTTACTATATGTTTCAAGTTCATTTGATTCGATAAACATCAAAGTTTTTTTGAAATGATCACAATATAATTGATTATCATGTGCATGAAGTTTATGAGAGTAAGAAAATTTAGAGTATAAATCAACATCACCATCTTTGAGGTCAATCCAGTGTTTTTGGGACAGTAATGTATATTTCATTCAAAACGTTTTGGTGGTTCATGATCTTGATTGTATTTCTTTTGTATTAAATAATATTTTGTTCCATAGTGAGAGAAATAGTATC